TCCCTTAACATTTGCCATACTAATACAGCACCTTATTGCTACTTCTGCTATTGCTTTTAAATAAAGTATTTGTGTACATGGCTAGTAAGCAAATAGAACTCAATAAACATTTGAGAAGTTTTTGCTATCATAATGGAAAATTATCTCAACAAACAAAATGAGTGTTTCTTCAAGCGGATTTTTTTTCTAGTAAATATTAAGAAATGGAAAAAACTGGTAAAAAAGTTAACTAATAAAAATAGTATCAGATAATTATTCTTTCCTACTAAAGCTTTCCCCCAAATAAAATACTTAAATAAGTATTTTATTTACTTAAATAAGTCATTTAAATACTTAAATGACTACCCCTGGGTTTTATGGAAAAATGTTCCTCTTTCAACAACAAACTATTTCAATTCTACTAAAAACAAAAACAAACAAAAAAGCTTTTTCTAAGAGAAAAAGGAAGAAAGAAATAAGATTTCAATGACAAATAATGGTGGGAACATCTAAAGACTATAAATCCCATAAGTAGGTCAAATTAATTTTAAGTGTATGATGTAAGTAAATTTGAAACATTATTCAGAGGATAAAGAGCAAAACAGCCACTTGGATTTAAGTTGCCTGAATCATCATTTTACGAAATGAACAGGTCATGAGAAAGACAATGAAAACACAATGCCCATATTAACAACTCACGGTTTTTCTTTAATTTTATTTAAGATGCATTAATATAAAATATTTTTCCTCCATTGTATTTAAGCATAAAAACTTTAAGCAACTGTTTGGCAACAGTTTTACAATTTATACATTTAGAGTCAAATGATAATTTCAGAAATATACTCTAATGAGATTAGCAAAATTTGCTTGTCTGCCAGCAAATTCAAAGGCTACAATTAGAATACTACATTCTATAAGAAATAGTAAAATTATTATAACTGAAAATTTAAAAAAAACCCTCACATTCTCACTAATGCTTTAGGATTTACATAATAACATAATAAAGTATTAGAGTGAGCCTTAAAGATAATCTTATCCAACTGTCAGACTTGCTTTTGCCAGAGAATTCTTTCTGTAGAAAATTCCACATAGAAATGACTAACACACAAGCAATTAAGGGGACTTTAAGGGGTGGTTGGTTTTGCTTGCTTATGCAACAACAAGGAACCTTCCAGGGCTCAGAGTTTCATAGACAACACTGCTTAAGTTTATTTTCTCATGAAGACATGGGAGCCCAAAAAGGGGAAGTGATTTGGCAAATGTCACAAAACATCCATGGCAAAGTCAGCTCTAAAACAATACACACGGATACTAGTATGGTAGAGCTGCCATTAGAAAATATTACAGATTGGGCAGCGTAACAGTAACTGCTCATAGTTCCTTATGTTATAACCACCATATCAAGGTTCCACAGGGTCGGCTGGTGGGGAGGCTCCCCGCTTGGCTTGGACACCACCCCTTCACTGAGCTCTCATGTAGCTTTTACTCAGAATGCACATGTGAAAAGAGCTCTCTTCTCAGAAGGCTAAGATGTTATTAATTAGTTCTTGCTTTTATGATTTCATTTAATTAATCTTACCTTCCAAAAGCTCTATCTCCAACTAAGTCACACTGAGGATTAAGTCTTCAGCATAAGGATTTAGAGCACACAATTCTGTCAACACCAAAAATGTATACCTAGCAATACATCATTAATGTGTTCCTAATATAATAAAACTACAAATATTCTCTTGTCTAAGAAACTAGAAGCCCAAATAGAAATAGGTATTTTCTTGGTAATTTTTAAAATTTTCACTCTGTTAACATGCAAATTTTAAACATACACCAGAGAAGGTAGAAAAATATAATAAACCCTCATATACTCCTTGTACAGGTCCAATAGTTACCATCAGGTTATGCTCAACCTTGTTTCACGCACACACACACGCACACACACACACGCCCCTGTATGAAGAAAATTTCAGTCTATCTGAAGTGTTTTGGTATCTATCTAAAAAGGACTTTAAAGAAAAATTCACAGTACCACCACCCTACTTAGAAGCAACAACAATTCCTTACTATCATCAAATATCTAGTGTTTGAATATTCTACTATGGATGCTGTATTATCAGCAAACTTGTTTAAGTGAATGACTCCATCAAATCCAAATGAGATAAAGGTACTCAATCCTTCCTTTTTCCCTTTTCATTCTCACATTTACAAACACAGTAACTTGCTGACACCAGCTCAGGAATTCTGCAATAAGTACCTTGATATCAGACGTGGTAGGAACACAGTACTTTACACCACAGAAACTGGTAAACTCCACAAGCAGCCCTCCACCTTCCACCCAAAGATGCAGTTGTTGGCTCTTCTTGTTCCACATTTATTCGTGTTCTACATTTACCAACATGCCACCAAGCAAATATATGTTCATTTGTACACCATATTTATAACCAACTATATGTGAACCCAGTCTAATTTTAAGATTAGGGAGAAGATATACAAGTTAACACTAAGAATAAAACTTCAATCTACATTTTAGTTTGTCAGAACCAAGTAACATCTGGAAGATACCATGCAGTAAGCCTTGTTAAGCTGCCTGTCTCTACTGAACAGTAGTGAAAAGAATGGAGCACACTGGAACACACCAGTTCAAATCTGGACTCTGCCGTCTGTGGACTTAAAAGTTACCTCTGAGCCTCACTTTCCCCCACAATAAGGTGGCTGATGCTACTACCATGTCTTCATATGTGCACAATGGCTCCCACCTGTCCAAGTTTTTTTATACAACTCACTTTTTAATTTTATAGGTATTTTAACATCATCCTTCATCTGCAAGAGGAAATTTAAGTAATAGATGCCTAGATCTACTATACCCTTTCTGATAGATCACATTCATTACTCTGCAATCTGTTACCTATACGTTTATTATTATCTTTGCACCTGGAACACATAAATACCAGAATATACATCACAATGTCTGCAAAGACTTAGTTCTTTTTTTTGGTATCAGGGATCAAACTCATGACTTCACAGTTCCCAGGCAGGCACTTGTGCCACTGAGCTAAACCCCTGACCCCATGTAATCTTTCTTGAATAAGAAAATTGGGAGAATAAAGTTTTGTTGCAAATATGATACAAGAAGTTACACACATGCACCCCCGCACCCCATATCTATCCAGATCAGAGCACGGCAACTAATAAAGATGTAAGTCCCATCATTTTAGCTGGCTAGTATGTGCAGGCTTCTATTATAATTCTAGCTCTTGTAAGCAAAAGTGACTGATATGTAAGAGAATAAGAGGACAGCTTATGTCACCTCTGCTCCAGTAAGAAACAATCAGAATTTGTCCACTGACTGTCTTAGGTGTTTGGAGATATGTGGAAGAAGAAATTTATCATTACCAGAAATGCCTAATTTCTTCCCTAACATTTTGAGATAAACACTGCATCAATACAGAACTCATAACTGTACCTGGATTAGAACTGTAGGAAAGGTCTATCAAAACGCAAAGTCAAGAGTAAGAACAAGCTTTATGTACCTATTATGTATTTAACAAATAACCATTTTGCTGGGTGCCAGAATTACAGAAATATAACAAAGATCTATGGCAAACTACACTCTGTAAGTCAATTGTAGCCCATTATCTGCTTTTATTGAAACACAGCCACATATACCCATTTCTAAATGTTTACTGCTATTTTCTTACTAAATCAAAAGTGAGTAGTTATAAGCAGACACCGGCTCATAATTCCTAAAACATTTGGTCTTGCACAGTAAAGTTTGGCAACCTCGCCATGGAGTTCATACCCCACATAGTTCTGTCAATAGTATGAATATTCCTGGAACAGCAAAAGAAGGAAGGAATGAAGAAATGGTTACCTGGGATTTAAGTGAGGATGCTCTAGGAAGAGGTTATCCCATGGGACAAGCCCCATGGCAACAGAACTACAGGGTTTGTCTCAGGAGCTGCAAGAACTGCTAGACTACGGCATCCAAAATGGTGCAAGACAAAGTCGGAGAGAAACATTATGAACTGTATGTGCCAGGTTGAAAAGTTTTTATTTTAAGAATATTTATTCATCACTTCATGTTTGTACTTAAAACAACAACAACAAAAAAAACTACCACCTCTGGAAGGCCAAACAAAAAAGTAATAAAAAAGTTCTGGGGAAATGAGAATGCATGCTGAAGACAGGACAGCTCAGAAAAACCTCACTGGATGCTTGTCATAATTCTGTCTTTCACATCACATGAACACCTGCTTCTTCTAAAATTACATATTTAAAACTATGGATATTGTCATGAAGAAATAAAAGACAAAGATTGTTACACTTAATAAAGAAGCAAGAGCCAACCATAAAGAGCACTGATAAAAGAAAAAGAAAGATACCAGTACCAATGTTTAAAAAGCCAGCAGCGACTACACAGCAATGACTGTATCAACACTGTACAAAAAAAAAAAAAAGAATTTTAAGCCAAAAATTATTAGGAGTCTGTAGACGTAGGATATTTCATAATGCTAAAAGGATTCAATTCATGATGGATCAAACAATGCTAAATGTTTGCACCCAACTAATATAGTTTAGAAAGATGTAATGCAAAAATTAACTGAAAATAAATAGACAAATCCATTATTAAAGTTCAGGATAATACCTAACACAGGAAAAGCAAATCTAACCAGTTATAATATACAAATTCCACCAGAGTGGTTGCCCAAAAGTGGGGATACTAAATAAAAGTAACTACCATGATGGTGCCTGACTGTAATTCCAACACTCAGGAGGCTGAGGCAGGAGGATTATCACAAGTCAAGACCAGCCATTGTCTCAAAACAAAGAAAAAAATTACCTCAGGAAGAAAGGAACAATTATAATTGAATTTAACAGAAATTAGCCTTACACATATGATATGCTTCATATATTAACAGAATACATATCTCAGTTCATTGAATATCAGATTCAAAAAAGAAAATTAAAGATCAAATACAATTGGACAAATTACAGTAGACATTTAAAATACTTTATGTCTTTCTTACCAGCATCACTGCTAAATTCATAATTCTCCCAAGGTTATCAATGTAGTATACACTGTCTTGATACCATGAATCACAGTGCAGGTAATTATACATCCCAAAAGCATGCATGTGTTCCAGTGTATATTGGTCGTCTCGAAGTTTTACTTCTGCCACAGCTGAAACACAAAACGAATAAACACAATCATCAAGTTTTACCTCAGATCACTTCTTTTTACAAGACAAAAACATTACATAATGCCAATCACAAAGGCCTTTAGGATATCATTATATGATTCACTCATGTCTTTTCTGTACCTTCCCCTTTTCTTTTTTTCTTTTTGTCTTTTTAAGACAGGTTCTTGCTGTGCAGTTCAGGCTGGCCTTGTGCTTACTTTGTAGCCCAGGCTGGTCTCAAACTTGCAAAGATCCTCCTGCCTCAGCCTCCCGAGTGCTGGGATTACAAGCATGTGCCACCATGCCCAGTTTAACTCTCTTTTGTTTAGGAACCTCTTACAGTATGAACAAATAGAAAAGAAATCCAAAAATAATGATGGGTTCTCCATTCTGGGCAAATAATGAGCCCAACCTAGAATGTTTTTTATACTTTAAAAATGTTTTTCTATTATGTAATTCGTATTTATCACCCACTAATCAAATAAGCATGTAAGTTTATATAATTTTAATGTAATAAATTTATTATAATTATACTGTGATGTTATAAAGAAAAATTATGGGTACCACAAGAACACATAACATACAGAATTAATTTACTAAGGGAGATAATGAAAACTTTCCAAAGATGCAGTCAAGATACAAAAGGTAAGAATTTAAGAAAAAATATATATCTACACATCCACATACAATTTTTTATTCATTCTAGGAAAAATGAAAACAGGCAAAAGTAGGCAGGAAAACTTGTGTTCAGAGATCTAGAGGAGGCTGGCTAGTAGTACAGCAGCACACGGGAATCCAGAAGACGCCTGAGAGGCTCTCGCGGTCACTGAGTGTGACTGCAGGTTCGAAACACTTCACAGGTAGGTCGTGATTTTCTAAGCCACTGGTAGAGGTTGAAGAAACTACTGTGTAACTCAAAGAACTGTGTATGTGATAAGAAATGGTTGGAAAAATGTGTTTTACTGATGAGGAACGGTTTGCTAGCACCACTGTGTGGATGATGCTCATGAGGCAGGAAAAGTGTGTGGTGATGTAACAGCACAATGCACTGATACTACACAGAAAGGTAACAAATGCATTTTCTTCATTTGTTGAAATTACAAACAAGCCAGAGGTTTCTTAGCCATTTACCGAATTACAGCACCTTATTTGCAGACACACACAGAGGCAGAAGACCACTGTTAGGAGTCCAGAGTTTTAGTTGTTTCATTTCAACAAGGTAATTTACATGATTTAATGTGAGGCTAATGTGAGGCTATGGCTATGTTAGCAGAAAAAGTCTACTCTCTGGCCCTGAATGGAAACTGAAAAGCTGCAATTATGTTTATGTTGTCAATCATCTTGAGTGTAAAGTATAGAGCCAGAGCACCTGAGGAAAGAAAAGTGGAGTCCAGGGAATGGAGGTCATTTGTAAAACCCTCTCAAGAAAGGCAGTAGAGGGCAGGCAGGCTCTCACCTGGATCTTTGAAACGGTTGAAGAGGAACTCTTTTACAGAAAGTGACTGTAGTGAATGTTTCATTAGAAAAAGACTTTGCTAAAAAAAAAAAAAAAAGTCCTTATATTGTAGTCCTTCATAAAAAAAAAAAAAAAAAAAAAAAAACTCTAGGTCTCATGAGCAGGGATTATCTCCTAACGTTGATCACCAAAGCCTTATAGAGCCTCAGAAGCCTTTAGATTTTTGTTCAAAAGTTAGTTACTAGAAGTCTGTTGTGTAGCAGACCCTGTACTTGGCCTTGGGCATACACTAGCAGGTAAAGCTGACCTCATTCCTACCCTAATAGTGCTTACAGAGACAGTCACTATGGATTGTTCTCTCAATATATACTACTGTACTGAACCACATAAAACTGCCAATATTCAATCTAGTATTTCTGTAAGTACATTAGTGGGTTTTTTTAAAGGGTGGGCGAGAAAAGCAAAAAATATTCCCTTATAAGGGTCACGTCTTGAACCAGTCATCTTCTGCAAAGTCTTTTCTTGTACTTATTTACTTTTCTATCTGTGTTTGAAAGTTTAAAAATGTAAAAGTATGGTACAAATTTGTATAATAAGTTCTGAAGCAAGACTCAGGGAACAGGGCAGATCCGGCACCTGGAGCACTACTGTATAAATTGTTTTCCACAGCACTCCTGAGATCCAAACATGGCCATCTGGCTCTCTTCCCCATATCTTTCTTGTGTAGCAGCAGATACGAGTTTCACAGCAATCTCTACACAAATACAATGATCATATGGTTCCTTCCCTTCCTTTATTCCAACGACAGCCTAAATCTTCACCAACTTAAGTTCCTTCTGCTTTGAAGGGACAAATAGCCTAGAGAGACCACATAAAGTATTCCAAATATTCAAAATAAGTAGGGGAATAAAGATGTAAAAAAGATTTAAATCAAGCTTCTAGAAATTCAAAATATATCTAAAATAAAAATATACCAGATTAATAAAATTAACACTGCAAAAGAATAAGATTAATGAAATTAAAGATATGAACATGGAAACTATTCAGAATGAAAGAAAAAGAATGGGGGGAAAAGAAAAAGAGCCCTCAACCTTTGGCAATCCATAAAAAGGTAAATGGCATCTTCAAAGGAGAGAAGAGAGAGGGAAAAAGACCTAGACAAAGTAATGACCAAAATGTTTTCCAAATTTGGTGGCAACTATAAATTGTTTATAAACTCAAAAAATCCAAATTACAATAATCATAAAAAACCACTCAGGCATAACATCACCAAATTACTCAAAACCAATGTAAAAGAGAAAACTCTTAAAACAGCCATAGGAAAAGGCATGCTACGTATAGACCAACAAACAGAGGACAATGTCAGACTTTCCAGCAAATACAATATAAGCAACAAGACTGATGGACTAGCAAGGAGAAAGCTGTCAACCCAGAAGTCTATGTAGGAGAAAAGTATCTTTTCAAAACCAAGGAAAAACAAGTGTTTTCAGAAACATGTTTTCAGAAGCTGAAGGCATGTATCACCAGAAGATAGTAAAAATATTAAGTCACTCATGGAAAAGGAAAAGTTATACTACTTAAAATACAGATCCACATAAAGGAATAGCAACCATGTGATTGAATACAGTTTTCCCCATTTAAATCTCTTTAAAAGCCAATTTTCTATTTAAACAAAAAAACAGTAACAAAATATTATGAAGTTTTCAATAACATGTAAAAGAAAATGCATAACAGCCAACATAGACATGCGTAACAGCCAATAACAGCCTAAAGAATCAGAAAAAAGAAATCAAAATACAGTAACATAAGGTTCTTATGCTTTATATTCAATAGCCTACTATCATTTAAATTTCTATTATACTACAGTAAATTATATACTATATACACTAAAAGGATCACTATGATAATAAACAGCTACAGCTACAAGTCAACAAAGGAAAGAAAGCTTGATTCAAAAAATTTTCAATACCAAAAAAGGCCGAAAAGTGAGAAAATTACATTCTTCTAAAGAGTATGTGGAATAAACAAAATAACAAACCTAAACAAATCTATGATCACATTAAATGTAAACAGTCTAAGAGAGATGGCCAGATCAGATTATAAAGCACTATTTTTACTTAAGAAATCCATATTAAATAAAAATATACAATTAGCCTAAAAGTAAAAAGATGGAAAAAGTATACATGATAAAATTACTCAAAAAGCTGATGGGACTAATATTAGACAGAATTCTAAGCAAAAAACATTGCTGAAGATAAAGGTCATTTCCTAATGATGAAGGGCCAATTTACCAAAAAGACAAAATAATAAATAACATTTATACAGCTAGTAGCAGAACTTCAAGACATGATGTTAAAAACTGATAAAACTGTAAGGAAAACCAGAGACATTCACAATTATAATTAGACATTTTAATACTTCCTTGTGCAACATAATTACACTGTGCAAAAGAAGCCAGACCAAAACTCAGTGCCTAGCGTATGATTCTGTGTATATACGATTCTAGAAAATGCATACTAATTCAGAGTGGCATAAAGTAGATCAGTAGTTTCCTAGGCGAGAGGGAATACGGGAGGTACAGACAATCGTTACAGAAGGGCATAAGGAAATTTGGGGGGGGATTACAGTTGAGTTTAGTATCTTGATTATGGTGATGATTTCAAGGGTAATAAGGTAAACTTGCTAAATCGTAGCACACTGTCAATTATAGCTTTGTAAAGCTGCTCAATGTGTCTGTGATACAAAATCACCAATTACCAATTACTCTATACATGCTCCAACTCTGGAGATTTTAAAAAAAAAAAGCACTTAAAATGAAGTATCCACAATTCACCAATATAGAACTGATAGTCTTGGCAGAGAAAACAGACAATGAATGCTACAAAGTCTGCTAAAGCCTATGAAGTACTGGTTACTGCTCGAAGTATAAGGTAGATTCCAACTTGTCCAGGCTTTCCAGTATGGGTTCTAACTGAGTAGTGAGGAAGACTCCCTGAGGAAGTAACATGTACACCAAGACGCAAGAATAAAGCATGCATTAGCTAGGTGAAATTCAGGACGGAAACATGCAAAGATATACTAAGTGAAGATTCCAGGGAAAGAATGTCTACAGATAAATGCTCAGACATGGAATTGCTGCAGCACAGAGAAATTATAATTTTATGAAAAAGATTTCTGGAACAGAAAAATGCAATTATTGTTTATACACATCCCTCTAGGACAATTTGAGTTAAACTTCCATCCAGCTCTCTGACCAAGAGACCAAGTCTTCCTCGTCACACCTTAAACACAGTATTTCCTACATGACAGGAAGCCACCAAACATTTGTGAAACTAAAGCGAACTCCTTGGGTTACAATAACAGAAAAAAATTGCTAGGAGCCCTTCAATAACACCTTACTATTTCTACTAATGATAATTTTTTAAAGAATTAAAAATCATCCTCAATTTGTTTTCAAATAATTCTTAATCAATGCTCCCCCAACATAAACTACTGCAAAAGCTTCCATCTTCCAAACTCAACCTTTACAAAGCCTGAGGCTATTCAACTGTTCGTTGGCCTTTATACTTAAAACTCACAAATAGCCTACTGCTTCTAATTGTGCATTTTTAAAAACACTGAGTCTAAGACCAACATAGTTGAAATAGGAGCAGGGAGGTGTAACCTAGTAAGGTTTTAATAAAAGTTACGGTTTTCAATGTAAAAAGGTATTTATTGTGAGATTTCAATCCTTATTATGTTAAAATATCTATTTACAAAAAGATGAATATATGATAATTTTTGAGAAACACTTCTACTTAGCAAATTAAAAGCTTGGCAAAACAGGACAGCTGAAGTTTATCTTCATTGGAATACCCATGAAAAACTGTCGGAATCACAATTCCCAATGGGTTGAAAAGGCCAATGGGTCTTTTGCAGTCTAATGCCTCTCACCTTTCAGGGGTTTGCACCTGCAATATAAGACTTGAATAGTGTCCTGCATAGAACTTACTCTTTCTTTTGCTCATGTTTCCAACTCATGTTACTATCTAGAACTGCATTTGCCAAGAGTTAGGGAAAAAGTCATACCCAAAAGAGAAACATGTAGTTTTCATGTAGCTCACAGTCTAGTGGAAGCAATGTCTATCAAATAATTATGAAATAATTAGTCTCATGGCTAAATAGAAAAGGAGCTCTAAAGTGAAGTCAGGAAGGTTAGGAGACTATTGATTTCAGGCAAATAACTAGCATAAAGACATGAATGCCAAATGTGGCATTTAATGCACTTGCTGAAAAAACTGGATAGAACCAACAAAGAAATACACTAAAGATGACTCCAACAGGAACAACTACATAGACTTGCAGTAACAATCTCAACTTTTATGCCTCTCCGCTATGGCATTTAGTACATCCTTTCTAAACTGAGGAGGTTTGATTATTTCATTTGGGTTGGCCAACAGCACAACAAACAACGCAGGATGCAGAACAGAAAAAGACATCGTTACCGCCTCTAAAAGCCTAAACTATTCTGCTATGGAATGAGACCACGTAGTGGAAAGCAGAGATTAGATGAAGGACAATAGTCTGTAGCCAGGGAACTACCAAACTTATGAGGAAGTCAAGATCAGGAGAATGGCTTAGCATACCCAGAAGTAAACAAACGTGTGGATGAGCTGAATCAGGACTAGAAGAACCACCAAACCTTTGTGAGTAAGTGCTTTTTCATTGATCCCTGAATTCTGAGTTTCATCTAATTTTCAGTGAATTAGCTAACTCAACAGGGATGTATCCTTTACTGATAAAACATGGCTTTAAAACAAAAAAACCCAAGCAAGGTGCAAAAGAGGGAAAAGCAAGTTCATTTTCTCATATGCAACTCCCACTATTCTTTAAAGTTCAGCTTAGATATCAACTTCTCCAGGAAGCTTTCCTTGATCCACATGCTGGTTCAGAAAGACACTCAATATTACCACTGTATTTTGTACACATCACTATCACTGATTGCCCACATTATTTTATAATTATTCAGACACTTCTTCCTCACCAGACAATAGCTGTGTCATGCACTGGTCTATGTCTTTTCTTGATATCTTGTTACACAAAACGGCCCTTCAGTGTTTGTATTTGAATGTATTGTTCGATACTCTAATGTCTAACTGTAGGTCAACATTTCTCAAAATGTGACCCCCAGACAACATGCATGAGAATCGGTAGAAGATTTATGTTAAAAACTCAGATCCCTAAGCTCTCATCATCATTTTTAACGAAAATGTAGAACTAAGTAGTAATAGTGTGATTACTAAATCACTATCTCTTGAAAAATTTCTAGCGACTCTCTGGACAACAGTCTTTAGCGTAACCTGTGTAACTGAAAATGTTCTTTGTCCAAAACGTAGCTACTTTTCTAAGAAATGGCTCTGCGTCAGAGGAAACAGGAGTTGGGGTTTCTCCAAGGAGGTGTGGCTTCTCGGGGAACACATTCGCGGACAAGGCTCGGAACGTCCCAGGCCTGCCCTGTAATAGGGTCCAGCTAGTAAATAGCACCGCGGGGCTCTGGGATGGCCACTCCCGGCGTACCCAGGCAGGAGGGCCATAGGAAGGCAGTGATACCTTGCTTGATCGCAACAGAAAGAAAAAGCGGGAAGGTTCGGGACGATGGCAGCCAAAAGGGGAAAGGAACGGAGTGAGAGGCGGCGCCGCTGCTTCCCACCTGCATCAAGCTCCAGCTGGTAACAGGGCAGCGGCTCGAGAGACAGCTTGTAACCCTCGAAGCGGGGGTCCAACAGAGGTCTCTTCACCCGCAGAGAGCAATTAGCTGCCATCTCCATCACCTTCCAAGATCCTAGCGTAAGAACTAATAAACCTGTTAACAGGTCCGCGCCTAATTCCGCTGCCTAAATCTGTGAAGCAGCGTGGTTCTCATCCCAAAAAGCACTGCGCTTCAAATGCCTTCTGGGAAATGTAGTGTCTCTGGGGAAATGGCGCACGTTGCATGCTGGGTGACGTAGTTTTCCGAGAATTTCGAGTCCAAGCGTTGGCACGGTCTGGACTCTCTTACCCAGAGGGCTAAGCGGCCAGGAGGCGGCCCGCGCTGGTTAAATTCTCACATTATAGGCAGGGTGGCGACGTCCCGCCCCGGAAATGCGTGTTCTAGCTTTCTGTGTGCTTAGGTGCCCGAGCTACTGAGGGTCTAAGTCCGGGCAGCCGGAAGAGTGTGGTAGGTAACGGTCGCCAGCGCAAGGGTCATTTCGTCGCTGGGAAGGGACGGCCCTCGCCCGCGGTGATGGTGGTGAGCTATGCCCGTGGTCCTCAGGGCCGGGACCCGGGCCCGGCCCAGGCTCCTTTCGCTGTGCTGTCTTTCGTTAGCTTCCCCGACCCGCGCTCGCGGGCCTGTAGGGCTGGCCGGCTGGGCGTGCTGCTGGAGTTGGCCTGGAGCCAGTCCTGGCTTTGTTTTCTGGCTCCTCCCCTCCCGCCTCTCCAGCAGTCCCCGCCCTGCCGTGTTTTACCAAAAGTCCGAAATGGGAGGGAGCCCCTAGCGCCCAGGTTTTACCAGTGAGAAAACTGAGGCCTTTCAGAAGTGACTTGTCCAAGGTCACTCTCCGCATTTTGGGGACCGAGGCAAGAACAAGTTCAGCGTCATACTGGCCAGAGCTTGCAGTCCTTCCGAGAAGCTCCAAAGCAAGCCTTTCCAAGTTCTTTCTCCATCCTTCCTTCTTGTTCCCCAGGGAGGAAGAAGAGTAATTCCAACTCTGAAAACTTAGTGGCCCTCTCGCTTTTCATGTGGAGGAGACAGCAAAAGGATCCAAGTTAGTGACAGATTAAGCGTGGGAAGGTTAGTTTATTCCAAGATTTATTTAAACTTTTAAATGGCTTAGATGTCCTCCGAATTTAACCTTACTCTCTTTTCTACACCATTTTCGATTGCATTGTCTAGTTTTACAGAAAGTTGAGAATTTCCTAAGAATTGGTTTGAGATTTATTTTTCCCTTATCCCACCATATGTGTGCTTAATAATACAAACATACACTTTCAGATAGTGTAGCAGTTGTAATTATGAGTACATTCTAGTGAGGCGTGAAACACTTAAGGAGTCTTGCCTGGTAATTTCGTTTTTCACTAATAATGTTTTCTCTTACTTTGATGTGTAGTTTATATAGCTTCCCCAAATTTTGAATGCAGTTAAAGTGCAGAAATGATCAGCGTTCAGTTATGGACAGGGCTACTGGAATCAAAGTACCTGAAATTCAAATTCTGCCTTCATTTTCTGTTTTTGTGCCTCAGTTTCCTCATATGTAAAATGCAAATTATGTTAGTAATATGTAGCAGTAAGTTTGGGGCATTAAATGTGATTTTTGAAAAAAACCTACAAAGAATTAGCTTAATATCAGGCGCTTAAATGTGTAATAAATGTTGTGATAACAGTTATCTAAAATTTCATTAGTAAAAGGAATATGGGAGAAGGAACTTGTATAGTGAGTACATAAATAAGACTTTGGGATACAATAAATAATAATGATGATGATATCATTACTTGAAATTTACCAGCCCTTCAGTTGATAGAATGTTAAACCTGTTAGGTTGTTTGCTTAGAAGATTTAAAAGAAAATGTTTCTTAAATGTTTTATATCTGAAAGTACATTTTGATACCCAGGTTAGCAAGATGAACAAAGATGCACAGATGAGAGCAGCAATTAACCAAAAGTTAATAGAAACTGGAGAAAGAGAACGGTAAGTTATAGGCTGTGTTTATTAATTACATTTTACTACATTTACATTATTCTAAGAATCTAAATACCAAGAAACAAAACATGTCAGTGAAAAGAAACTTGAGATCATCAAAAGTTTCTATTCCTAACATCTGTTAGAAATAATTTAGGTTTATTCAGCATTGCAAGAATTCAAGGGGAGCGGGTAATGTGGAAAGGTAAGCAGAAGTGGTTATCTTTCAAAGAAATATAATGGAGAAACATACATATCCAAAGAACCACAGTTGAAAGCATGACGTTATCAGGGAGACAGTGTGATACAGAATGATGTTCAGTGCTCACTGTGTTCTGGTGTCAAAGTCTTTTAACCGTGGAGCAGCATATGCTATTCCTCTTCTCTGAAATACTTTTCTTTCTTCCCTTTACTTGTAGCAAATTGTTGTTGCTTTTTTGATTTCTGAGACAGGGTCTCATGATGTAGTTAAGGCCAGGCCTAGAACTCACAGCAATCCTCCTGCTTTAGCCAGCTGTGTGCTGGGATTATGGAGTACACCACCATATTCGGCTCTAAATGTGTAGCAAATTCTAGCTCGTCTATCAAGTAATAAATATTTCTTTTTCAAGGAATCCATTGATCAAATCCCAAGCATTTTGTTCTGTGATAGTATTTAATCAATTTAATCACATTGCAGTCTAGCTACCTACTTTACTAGTATGTGTCCTCCTTTGTGATCTAAATTCCATGAGAGTAGAAGCAGCAGTGTATATCCAACATCTGCTATTATACCAGCGCCTACTTGGCCAAGTAAATATCTGAAGAATTGAGTGGTTTATAAGTACAAAGAAAGGGTTGAAGAATCAAGAAAGGCTCCATGAGCAGAATGATAAAGTTTACAAGAGAAATACATCTGTAAGGAATCTTTCTAATTCTTCTGGGTTTGAGGTGCTCAAATGAGATCTCATGCAATAATTAAAGGTGAAGTTCAAGGATTAGTAGTTCTTCAGTCAAAGAAACAAGAGGATGCTCCATACAGAAGGAACAGAATATGCAGAGTCATTGTTTAGTATAACATACTACTGGAGAACTAGAAAATAATTGCAGACCTGCAGAATACTTGCAGAAAGCTAGAGGGTAGATTATGAAAGCATGTGGATGGGACAGTGAATGACAGAAATAGATTTTGTGTAATTCAGAATTAATTCAGTTGAAAACAATAGAAACTGAACTCAGCAACAGACTTAACCAATGGAAATATATGTTCTTCTAATTAAAACATGTAGGATTTCAAATTGTTTTAGCCATCATTGAGTCCACACACAAAAATTATTGCCAAGAATATTTTTCTTTTCCTCTCAGACCTGCTTTTCTCTGTGTTGCCTTTATTCTTAATGGGCCCAACTTACCTTCGTTATGAAAGGACTTACCTTGATTACCATCTCATTTGAAAGGAAATTTACGATTAACCTTGTATAGGCCATAGTTCTATCATATTTCTATCCAGATTCGTATTGTGGGGATGGGAATGTTTTTTCTATCAAAGATACATGGATATCATGGTTTGCAAGTGTTACTGACTTTACTGGTGCATGATGGAAATTATTAAAAGATTTTAAGAGAGGGAATGACTAGATCACATTTATACTTCAGAGATTTTATTCCGGTTGTGGGGGGTAAGACTTGCAGGGGTCAAGATAGCAGAAAAAATGAATTTGAAGATTACATTGGGCTAAAAATGAAAGTTGCAGAAATGGAAAGGGGAAGTTACTGTTTTAAAAAAGAGAGAAGCAGTTCTCACTATGAGGAAGGAGCCATCTAGAATAGTGCCCTGCGTAACTTGAAAGGATAGACTTCGTAATGAGTATATGGAATTACATATTTTTTCATTTGTTTTCTTCATTCATGAAACTTGAAGTCACTGAGTTTTTATCATGTGTGACCCTGTTAACTACCACAGCTGTAGTAATAAAATTAAGTCTTCTCTTCTGGAACCTACAGTCTAGGAAAATAATAAAAGTATACTGTGTATTAGGTAATTAGTGCTATAAGAATGAAGCAGAATAAGGGAGGGAGTGATATTTTCTATAGAAATAGCAGAGAAGTTTCCCTGAGAAGTAATGAGCAGGGTATGAGGAAGCAGGGTTTCTCCAAGAACCAACCTTCCAGATTGCATTGCTGGAGGTTTTTGAGAAATCCATGGAAGCTAAGGAGACTGAGTAAGTTGATGCGAGAGAAGGAAAGTGAAGTCAGAAATACAGTTAAGGGTTAGGTAAATCATCCAGGATCACTTGAGCTCTTACAGAGTTTTCCCAGACCTGGGGATTAAACTCGGGGCCTCTGCCACGTCTCAGCCATTATGTTTTTTGAGACTGGATCTCCGCATTCCAAAGTGGGACTCATACTTGCAGTCCTTCTGTCGCAACCTCCCTCGGTGCTGGGGTTTCAGGTGAACACCGCTGCTCCTGGCTGAGTCTTGGAATTTTATTCTGAGCAAATTAAAGAGGCCGGGAGGGTTTTGAGCAGTGGGAAGAGAATGAAGTACATAAGGTGAGAAGCAAGGCAGTGACCGTTTAGGAAGTTGGGTAACTGTCCAGACTAGAAAATGAGGTGTTAATGGCAGAGATGGTGAGAAACATTTGAATTCTAAATGTGTATTTTAAAAGTGAAATCTGGGATTACTTATGGATTGGATGTTTAGTGTGAACAAGGAAGCTTAATAAAAGATGCTGCCCAGATTTCTAGTCCAATGACTCAGAAGAATGGCATTGTCATTTGAAGAAGAACAGGATAAGTGGGAGAGAATATGAAGTTAGATTTTGGCCCTATTGAGATTGAAAATCCTCAGATACCAACATAGAAATGTCATGTAGCTGATCTGTAAGAATAACAGAAGAGAAGCAGTTTGCATGGAAACAGTCTGTTGGTTTGGATTGTGATCTGTCTAAGAAATTTGGTGGAAGAATGAGGATTTGTAAGAGTGGATATGGTAAAGGAATAAAAAAATACTGTATACATGATGCCATTTGTTGTAGTAGATTATTTTACTATTAAGTAAAAAAAAGATATTGCTAATTAAGCTATGCTAGGCATAGCCAATTGCTGACTTATTAACATGTGGAGAGGGAGTGGTAGTCTGAGGTTAGATGAGAGGTATAATGAGGAAATAAAAGAACTTTAAAAAAAAGGTACAGAATTTCTGGTCAAAGAATGGATTTTGAAACCTGAAGATTTCAGAGGTACAAGCT